TTTTTGCAGTTTATTATCGCTAATTGAAATTCTTCATTTTGGTTTGTAAATATATCAAATTGAGATACTTTGTATATTCTAGATTAGCTATTGATCTATATTCAAACAATAAATGACAAATCAACAATCTAATATAGAAGTATGTAGTTAGTGTGGAAGGTATGAGTTGATAAGAAGAAGAAGATTTATTACTTTTTTTTAATTTATCTTAGTCAATACGTTCGATTAAAGCAAATGAACAACGTTTAAAATCATTGGAAGATTATGAACGTGAGAAACAAGATAAAAAACGTTTAATAAAAGATTCATCAACTAATAATTTAAATAAAAAAACACATTATACATTTGATTCGGATAATGAAGACGGTGATGGAAATAATCAACCAAAAGAATTTATTGAAAAAAAAATAAAACTATTTGATGATAATGATGAATTAGATGTTGAAGAACATTTTAGTACGAAAAAAATTCCAAAGAAAAAAAGAAAATTGCAAGATCTTCAAGCACGTTTAACAACAACAAGTGATCCACGATTTCAATTTTCTGAACAATTTCTTGATGAACGTGATAAGAATATTAATGATGATGAGGATAAGGATGGTAATGAAGAAGAAATCAATGAGGTTTCATTTGAAGAAGAAAAAAATAAATCACTTGCTATTTTGGATCAAATAACAAATGCAAAAAATGTTATATCAAAACCAAAACCAAAAACAAAAATGATTCGTTTTGATCCGAGTAAAACTGAACATAGAATCTATGAAATTAATTCAGAAGTTAAATTAAATGATGATAATTTCAATACATCAGATAATACGAAACCAAAATCAATATTAAAAAGAATAATAGGAACAACACCAATTCTGTAAGACACTTTTAGTAATTGACAAAAAGATGATTTATGTTTTTTTCTAGTGATTCAAAACGAACGTATGATTTTGATGAAACAAAATTAAAAACATTGTTTGATAAAACAACAGATTCAACAAATACTTCTAATGGAAATGGACAGTTTCAATTTCAATTTTTTAATAATCAAGAACCAGTAACATTACCTGCTCCAAGTTCGTTTAGTTATTCTTAAAATTTCCATATGATTATTTTTGTTATTCATAGAAATAGCTCAAGTAGCTAAACCCATATCAAATGGAAAATCGAAATTATTTCTAAATAAACCTGGTGATACATCCAGTGAAGAAGATGACGATGAAAAACAAGAACAGTAAGGATTATGATCTTAACTAAAGATGTATCGATTGTTTTTTTTATATAGAGCTAAATTAAAAGATCAAATAGTTAATGATACATTCTTTTTCTTTGATATTGATGTTCGATTAAAAGGTAAAAAATTTTTTCGGATAAAAAGAAACTTCAATGGTGTGTTTATTTATTAGATGGATTAGAAGGTTTTGTACGTACTGAAGATTTAAATGAACTTGAACGAACATGGCCAACAAAACGAAAAGAAATAGGCGAAGTATAACATCAAATCTTTCATTGGTGCAAAAAATACATACTTATATTATTTAGGCTCTTCGTACAAAACATCGTAAAGCTATACAACGTAAAGATAAACATCGAGTATTCAATCATCGCCATCGACAAAGACAACAACCATCAACAAATTCTAACAATTCAAAACCGGATATTGATTGAATTTTAGTTGTTTTTTGTATTGTTATACTTAAAGAACGAGATAAACAGTATTTTGTTTTTTACTGTTTTTGTTATTTGCAAGTGAAGAAATCTTTCGAAACTTTGTCTTGCTTTTCGTTTTAGATATATAGAATGTTTGTTCCATCTGATGGAGGTTCATCTTCGGGTATGGGAGGTCGTCGAACAGGTTCAAATCGATCATCAAGCAAATGGGATTATGTTAAAACATTTTACTCCGATCAAGCAAAATGGTAGCTTTTTAGAAAAATATATTTCTGATATAGATTTTTATATTATAGGGATGTTATCAAAAGTATCGGATTTTTTGCTGTAGCAATATATATGATTCGAGATTTAGCATCGAATGATCTTCTTCCCATGGAATAGAAAAGATATTGTTATTTTCAGTTTTTTTGTGATAAACAACAGAATAAACTTGTTTTTTTTTTGGTATATATTTAGTTTAACAATAGGGAATACGATGGCAATAATACTTCAAGATAATATCAAAGTATTATTGTAGAACTTTTCAAAGAGACATGAAATATATTGAAAGCATGTTTTGTAAATTTGCCACACTATACAAAGAAAACAACATGAATACCAAGTCTCGACTTGTTACAAATTTTTTATTATTAATTTTTAAATAAAAAAATATAACACACAATAAATAACAGATAAATTTACGAATGACATCTAAGGATTTTTCTCAACCGAAAAACACCGGACGATCGCTTGGAATGATTCCGGAATAATTAGCATGTGATAGCGGACAACCATCTCCTGTTACACCGCCACTTCCCCACCATAATGGAAATTCTATTCTATTATTTTGCAAGAAGAAAAATATAAGTAGGACACAAAACGCTACACCACAATCCATTGCTGCCGAAAAAACATATGCATAACGTTTCCACCATGATCGTGCATATCGTAGTAATACAAAATTAAATAAAAAACCAACCAAAAGCCATGATGGATAGTTACCAGGTGGAGCAGGTGGCATCATTCCTGTCGCGGATAACATAATTGGAAAATGAATATATTTAAGCCATTTAGCATTAGGATATTTTTTCATAAGAAACCAGAATGGTATAGGCAGAAGTGCACCAATAATAAAACCATAAAGAAGTGTTGAATACATAGATCCTTTACCAAACATTTTCACTGGTCCTACAATGTTGAAAAATTATGAAAATAGTATTTTGTTAAAATCTACTTACCGATAGCTCCCCAAATAATAGATGCACTAAAGAATATATTAGCATTCGGACATGTCCATTTCGTATTTTTTGTTGTACAAATATTTGGAATATTATTCATTAAATACATAGCTGTCGTATAATTTACAATTCCTGCTATCATTGTACCTATTAATTGAGTAGCAAACATTGCACGTGGTGGAATCTAAAGAATTATCCTGAGAAATTTTATGATTAATTTGTGTAAATCATACTTTCATATAATGACCTAGTTTTAAATCAGAAATCAGTAATAATGCTTGATATTGTGTTATGTATCCATATGTTTTGAACGTAACATTAGCTAATGGATCTCCTGGGATAACAATACCAGCAACAAATTCAGTAATCACATTAATTCCTAAATAAAATTCGATTCTGTAAAATAAAAAAAAGAGAACAATTATTCTTTACCAATCGATTGATTTGTAACAGCCTGAACAATACCAGTTGGTAGAACAAAAGTACATGCAAGTGCAACTGCAACTAAATGTACATCAAAAGAAACGCAATAAGATCAAAAAACTTTTTTCGAACTTTATCTCACTTACGAAAAAGATAATACCAAGGCATCAACTGACCAACATGACAAACAATAATAGCAAGAAGAAATGCAATTCCAAATAATAATGTATACCTTAACAAACAAAATTATATCGTTTACATCTTGTTTTTCTTTCAAAAAAATTAACATACCACCATTCTGGTGCTTCTGGATAACGAGACATCATTTTAGCATGAATATCATTAGTATTATCTTTTAAAGATGACCGAAATTGTTTTATAATTGTTTTACCTTAATATAAAAAAATGACATTTAAAAATTTCTTTTAGAAATATAAACTTACCGTGATATAGTATAGTATGTACAATAACTGCTGCAATAGCAGCAAATGATATAGCATATGAAATAGCAAAAACAGCTGGCATTCGAAGTTCACCTATAAACGATTATATATATGATAATCAGAAAATATCGTTCAAAAAAATAATTGTACCATAATTTTTATAAGCAGTTTCATTGAGACGAAGTCGTGAATCAAGTACTGCAGACACATTGTAAAAATAACCATCTGAAGTAAAAACTCGATTACTAGTAATTGGCATTGCTTTTGAACCCCACAGATTCGTATAGTATGTAGCAGGTGCTAGAAGCCATGCTACTGCAACAAAACCAATCATTATATTAATTTGAGCCCTATATAAATAAAGTTTATTTATTAAACTAACATTCCTTTTTTTTTTCGACATACCAGAATGGAACAATTATTGGTGAACCAAGAAAAGAAACCCATGCATTCCAATCTAATTCAATTGAACCAATGCCAAGTCCATTGATTCCAGTAAGCTGTGAAACAAGAATATTATCTGGTTTCAACATGCATAACCAAGAGAAGAGAGATAGAACAGGAAAAATATAACCAGGAAACCAATACCATAAAAATTGACAGAAAGATGCAAGAAAAAAGAATCG